GAAAATAAATTAAATAATAGAGTACGACGTTTCGATTGCAACACAAGCAGTCGTCATCAGGTAGAACTACATTTGAGAGAGAGACAAAACACAGACACGGAGACACACAGACAGACGCACAAGCAGAGGGAGACAACGCAGAGACACACAGAGAGAGACACACAACATAGACACACATAGACCCAATGCCTCTGTGTTGAGGCCTCGAGGCATTGGCCTTTGTGTCTTTCTACGTGACTTTACCGAAAGAACCAAAGAGTGCAGTCACGAAAGCTTCAAATCAAGTGTAATAGTCATGAGTCTATGCTGTGTAGATTGATCCCGTCTCCTCTGTCAAATGTTTCCAAAAGGAATACTGCATACCAATTAGACTTTGCCTAAAAACCTAATTGGGAAAAAAAATGTTGATGTCTATATGTATATATAATAAAATAAACATTATTATGGCCTACTAATTAATTGGGTTTATGAGTGGGCACCTTTATTCAAAAGTGCACATTGACTTGGGTTATCTTATTTGCAAGGGAATCTTTAGACATGTAGTGAGATTTAAAACTAACTTTTAACTATTTTTAGTTTACCAAATAAGGCCCACTGACCTATATAACTCGTTTTCAGAAGCGACCTGGCCACAAATGATATCTCAACGAAGTGGCTTATCATCCTGTGGAAATGTATAGCAGCCAAATACTCTTAAATGCACATTTCTAAATGTGGAGGGAAAAACCGGAGAACCAGGAGAAAAAATGCATGCATCCACGGGAAAACATGCAAACTTAAAATATAATTGCGATCGAACCCACGACCTCCTGTATACGGGGCGAGGTAGTTAACATCTCGCCACCACGGCACCCCGTTTGACCTCCAGCAGCATTTGTTTTTGCTGAGCTCGGCCGCAATTCTCAGCACGGTGTGAGGGGTGGCCTCACACGCGACGAGCACCTCTCCACAATCGGTCACCACGTCTGCATGTGCAGATGGAATCATTCACAAGGTGGCAAAACGCTGCACATGTTGACGATTAGGCACAGGAGTGATTTAGCAAACAGCACACTGCACGGTCCCACCAGCGCTAAGAATACATGTTCACATGTGTGGTTCGCATGTGACATTGCATAACATTTGTGCGGGGTATTTCCTGTAAAATTGCTCACCGAACGAGAAATTATAAACTTTTTTTAGCTTTCCAGTTATTGCTGTGGCGTGTTCTCAATGTTTTCCTTTCCCTAACTGTTTGTAGCAGTGCTATCATTAATTTATAAGCAGTATTCGAAAACCATATGCGGGCGGTCCTTTGAGTCCAATCAATACATGTATTAGACCTTAAAAGTAAAATCTCCTCCAGCTATGCACTTCACGACTCACTCTCTTTAAATTTACAAGCCCGCTAATAGCACAACTCTTGACGGATTTCACGAGCCAATGTTAAATTTTAAATGTATAAGCGACACCGTTCGTTTCATGATTCACAAATTACCGTATAATGATGTCACTTCACAAGTTTACGATGATGGGACATTTCATGCCTTTGCTCAGTCGCTTTACAATTGTCTTGGAAAAGACGTTGATACCCATTGACCACAGTCATTCTGCTTTGGGATGATATTGAGAATTCCAATGAGGTTTTAGAAACTAACCAAAAAAGTAATTACACTTTAAATGCTTCAATTTTGCAATCACGGTCCTATTATCCGGAGCTGAAGTTAGGTGATAATGTGTTCTCCAACAGTGGCTTAAACACACATAAGCCGTGCGGTTAATGTTGTTGTCGCTTGCTTAGGCAATGAGTAATAGTCTAGAATGGCTATTTCGTACAGAACTTTACCATATTCACTGACAGAAGGAAGGGAGGCCCTGTTGTATTATAAAGAAGATGTGTATTTAAAACCGTTGTAAAGCACCCATTGGCTATGGCCAGACATCTACTCTGTTTATTGAATCGATTGGAAGGGGGCTGATATCCAAGATACTGACAGTTCAACAGAAGCATGTTGTCTGACATGGATAGACTTTTGTTGGTTGCAGTTTTTGGATCACCCATTCTCTTTGAAAAGCTCAGCAGGGCGGCTAGCACCACGTTTTAGCATTTTTCTGAGTCTTTATTTTCCACTTTCTTTCAGTTTTTTTTCTCTTTTCCCCCTGTTGCTTCGGAAGGCCAAGGAGCGTTAGCCCCGCTTTTGTGCGGTGCAGAATATTAAATAAAGCAGAGATGGCTTGGCATTCATCCCAATGTGGCCACGTGGGACGAGTGTGAGGACAGAAGGACAATAAAGAATCATTCAAGAGGAATTGAGCATAAGGACGGCTGCAGTTACACTTTTCTCATTTGTTTTGGTTTGGAGATTTTTTTTTTCCATCCGAAGCGGCGTTAATCTAAAAACCACTCTCCGATGACTTATGCTTGAAAAGTGCATGGCATAGAGTGCCAAGTTTTCAGAAATGTAGCATGTCTCCTACACATCTGCATCTGACAGCTGGCACACACCGTTCAACACTACCGCATTACTCAATCGGAGCAGCAGCATGGGGTGTGCAGTAGATTGTCCGGCACTCCACATCGCATCGTCACCTTTAAGGGCAGTCACGATGCAGGATCTCGACTTCACAAAGTGCGCCGAGTGAAGGAAAATATTCCACCCCCTTGGACTGACCAATCCCAATTGCCTGGCCCTGGCTCAAAGGTTAATGAAAAGCAGATACCGGTGAGCTACGACTTAGGCAGGTCAAATTCAAAATCCTTCCTTTGGTTGGTCATTTGAATGGGAACATATTAACTTGCCGGTTAATGTGCAATATGCCCTTCATACCAAAGTTCCCTAGTTCCGGCTACGGGAGTGAATCTTTGTGAACATCCCATCATCAGGCGGTAGCAGCCAGTTGTGAAAACAGTTATCCCGGGGAGTGTGACTGTGTTTAGGCTGTGGGGACACTGAGATCCTGGCCTGCGCGGTGAGGTCTTAGAGTGGTGAGACACCCTGTGGTACGGTGGGGGGGGAGATGTGTCTGTTTTTACAGCTGAGACACAGTCACTTACATCTGAACCTCAGTAGAATTAAGACTTTATCTATTGCATGGTGAGACGATGATCTGTGTATGAGTAATATACTAATGTATGGAGCCATGTACTTTTAAATCTTGATTGAAAACTCACTTCTTTGGAACTCCTTTTTGGGTTTAATTTGTTGTCCTTCACCCGCACCTCCGATTAGTACGGTTGGCTACGTATGGTGAAAAAGAAGTTCAACATACAACATTGGAGTGATAAAGGGCTATAATTATAAACAACACAGTATATAGGTTTATAAAAGTATTGAATACTGCTTGGTATTTGATTGTAAAAATAACAATGAGCAGTGGTGACTGAAATTTGTTTTTATGAGCCTTGGCATAATATTACTTTTAAGAGATAAACTAATGTGGAATTGCAGAGCAAAATCTTCTTGTCACCTTATGTGAGTAAAATACAAAAAAAAAACATACATACGTGTTTTGGCATCACACCTCCGCCGGAAGAAATACACATCATTCAGTGTCGAGTAAGAATGGAATAAATAATCTTTCTTATTTGAATCAAGTTGCATGAGTATACGCAACTTACCGTTTGCTAATATAGAATTGTTTATCTCTAATGGCTGCCACTGTTGCTGTGTGAAGGTGATTTACACATTGGTTTAGAGTTTGTTCCTCATTATAACACTCTAATTGCAGAGAATCATTCACATGCAGCTCATTTCTCATTAAATTGTATGCAGTGATTTGCAAACTATGTCCATTTAAAATATATATGTATACATTTGTAGCCTTCTCATTAAAATAATGTTTTTTTAATCAACTATTTAATTTGCATCTGTTCTAGTTATGATCCTGAGTCATTATTAATCCACTGCTGGATGAAGGCCTCCTTAAGCCGTCACCATCTCTCAGAATCCTGCAATGTAATAATTCCCTTGTCCTGCACATTTCCCCCCAAAACAAGTATCAAATATACATATTAAAAAAGAAATTGAAACCCCAGTATACGTATAATGTTATCCTACACACCAAAGGCAAGACCAAATGCTGAAGCTGTATATTATGTGTTGGCTATTCAACAACAACAACAACATGATAGCATTTACCACATCCATTAGTGACAGTTGGTTGGCACGGACCTTGCCCCGCAGAAAGAATACTGAAAAATCTCACAGTGCAGGCGACACGGCCTTTTAAGTACAAAGATTATATGAAACGTGCAACCACCGGGATACGCAGCTTTGACCGTGTTTACTTGAGTTTGTGCCACGACGGAGATCAGAGTGAGTTGTGTGTAAGCTGCCGTGGTAACACCAGTTTTTTTATATACACGCGAGATTAAACGGTTGCCACATAGCGTACAGAGTGAATGTATGACCACACAATTACGTTCCAGAGTTTGCGAAAATAAACTCAGGGTTATAAATTATTATTATTAGTCAACAATTCATATAGGAAATGTGAGTATGTACAAGGGTAATGAGTAATCTGCAGCATGGGTATTAAAGGCAGGGCTGGCATTTTAAAAACACATGCATACACACATATATAGGGTACTGAACGTTCAAACAGAAGGAAATCGATTTTTGAGCAGAGCTAATTAAATACTCGAATATCCATTACCTTTTAATGCATCTGCTGTGTTCAATCTTTCAAAGTGAGGTTTAAATAAAACTTTACATTACTTTTGAGTGACTTGTTTCAATTGCATCGTAACCTCCGTACACTTGTGGCATATGCACAGAAAATGCAATGCAGACTTTAGATGACAACATGAGCCTACTTCCGCCCAAAACATAAACAGACTGCTAAGTCAGTTTCTGTCCACAATATCAAGCTACCAATATCCCCAAGCCCACAGGGAAGCGTTTGCATTACTTTAGCGGCGTTACAGTATTTAATGACGCGCACACGCATGTGCAAGCGTGTGCGCGTGTATTAATGCTTTCAATTGTGTGCGTGCTTAATGCCAACGGTAGGCAACATACCGATGCATGCATTCACCCGCACCGAGAGCTGGGTTCTCAAAACGATACTTTGTTTCTTGGATCTCCTGCAAGCGATAGGTAGGGGTGTGGGGCAAATAGGAAGGAGGGCACAGGGAAAGAAGACAGACACACGATGTAATTCTTCCATCTCATAATAACTTGCTTTAGCTTAAACAACAACGATGTAGGGTCAAGGACAGTCCTCGCAGCCGATTTTTAATCAACTTCAAAAAGATTTTTTTTCGCCCGAGCCAAATCTCCCTTGGACACGGTGGACAAAACACCTCTTGAGATGCAAGTGAAAGTGCGAGCGAGCGAGAGAGAGGGGAGAGAGAGGGGCAGAGAGCGAGACTCTGTGCTGGATACAAAATAAAAGGAACATTTCAAACACAAGCGATCAGCAATACAGGGGCAACTGAGATTCCTGAAGCTGCGTCAGTGTCCATTCATCCATTGAATCCACTGACTTTAAGGGCACATCAATATAATTCACAGCTCAGTATACGGCGCCGCTGACTACACTCCCACGCACGGCAATTCAACACAGAAAGCTACGTTGTTTTCATTGCCCCAATAACGTATTAGAGCATGGCCAAATGAAATAATAAATAAAAATGTAAACGTGTGCAATGGTCACATTCAAACTGTTACCACATGTGTATTACTGTACTGTGTACGTATCCATACCACCGCATTCATTTCCGCAGTGCCGGCTCAGGTAATGGTGCTGCCACCTCGGTCGCGTGGGTTCAATCCCTGCGTCTGTACCCAGGGAGGAGGGCCTCCCAATGTCAAGCCACCTGACTGCAAATATCTCGGTGTGTTCCAGGTGTTGCTAGGAAAGAATGATGCGAGCTGAGCGCGGTGCGAAGTCACACAGTCCCCCCAATGCAGCATGCCAAGAAACAAGCTTTCCCTGGCAGCACTTGGCTTTATCATCCATCAGGACCACAAATATAGGGCCCTTTATCCATTATTCATACAATGTTGGTATTCATTGCTAGGTTTTTCCTACCAGCAGTGGAAGTGGTTATCACGATTTATTTCATTTTATCTGCACACAACACTTTATTTCACTCGAACTTCATACCGTGGCTTTCTCCATCACACCATGGTAACAGATAATCGTCATCACTATGCCATCGCGATGGTCATGTAGTCCATTGGCAGTCGCTATTGTATGAGTTTCAGGTAAATTATTAAACTAAACTATGAAACTAAACTATTCAAATATTGTTTTTATTTTACCAGGTAAGGCTGACTGAGCTGTATCGCTCTTTTTCAGAAGTGACCTTGCCACAAATGATAACTCAACGAAGTGACTTATCGCGTGGATATTCTCGCAGCCATATACTCTAAACGCATGTTTCTAAATGTGAATGGGGAAAACCGGAGGACCCGAAGCAAAATCCACGTGACCACGGGGAGAACATGCAAACTCTATATATACAGGCTTCAGAGTTTGGAATCGAACCCACGACCTCCTGCATACCAGGCGAGGTAGCTAACATCTCACCACCGTGGTGCCCTAAAATGATGGTGGATAATGGAGGCTCAGTGGCGCAGTGGTTACCACACTGTGCTGTGAAGCCAGTGATCTGGGTTTGATACCGAGCTGTGGCTAACACAAGTGGCTCATAGTATCTAAACCGGTCCTAGATTCCCCCACCTCCCAGCCACGTTCCCCGCCCAGGGGAGCGTGTTGGTTATGTGGAAGCCTTAATAAAGAAGTGGGCTGTAAAGTAATCGTTTGATTCATTAATTATCTACTTCGTTATTTGTGTATTTCAATGCCATACTATTGGAGGACCTTCACACTAATAACACTACTATTCGATTAACATCAATGGATAATGGATAACTGGTAAAGCACATTCTCAATATTCCAAAGCTGGTATGAAATCTTGATTTGAAGCTTTCGTGACTGCAGGAATCCATACTCTTTGGTTATTTCGGTAAAGTCACGTAGATGATGGTCGCTTGTGTTGCGATCGAAACGTCGTGATTTATTTTATATTATTTCTACCTACATGACTTTACCAAAAGAACCAAAGAGTCTGGTATGAAATGTTGTAGAGATTCAATAGTTTTACATAGCAATCCAGCTTTGTGCGTCTATATAGTACTGTATATGTATAAGGAAATGTACTTTGACTTAGCCACGATAACTTCTCAGTTAAGCTCTACACATCAGAAATGAACACCTCGGTAAAATGCAATGGGCGATAAATACAATTTGGCTTAACTCGAAATCATTTCACAATAGCTGCCCGCAACAATTTTGAGATCACGTTGATTGTCAGATGGGCCTCAATTATTGGACAACATCTTTGAACGAACGCATAGACTTGAGGAGCAAGTGGCTTAGGTGGAGAAGCACAAACTAGCTTAATCCCTGTAATCTGTGAAATAGGATCATAGATCCTAAAAATGTCACTCCAGAGAACACTTACGCCTCTACCACTGTCAGCGCTGTAATTTGCCCTCTTAGCAGAGGAATGGAGTTTGCTTTATTGCTTCTGCAATGAAGAAAAAAATGGTGGAAAAAAATAGTGCTTTCTTAAAGAAAACTACCCTCGTGTGCACAATTATATCTGGTGGAAAAGCCCTGTATTACATTGATGACCTGCACTGATTTTAATGTGGGTTTTTTTTGCGTAAAGTATACCCTGTCAAGTTGCCATAATCCCCTCTAAAAACGTTAATAATGGCCCTTGCACTCAAGGATTACTGCAGAAATTGAACACTATAACAATGGTGGAACTAAGTGCAGTGTTTAATCTCTTATTTGCTCATACGAAAAATGGGTGGTGCACCAAGAGTAGAAACACTCCAACGATTACCATTTTGGCCGAGTCGCCGATGAAAAAGAACCTCTGAGCTCAATGGGCCTTACCCGAAATAAACTGACTGATAAACTGACTGAGATAAATAAATATGTAGCAAAGAAATACACGATTATTAAATAATATATTGAAAATATTGCGAAAAGCGCATATCGTTATATGACAATGCTGATCATGGCCCCAATTTGCGTTTTAGTATCCGCACTTTCTTTGCTTTACGGAACATAAAACACATTGACATAAATAAAAAAAATTGCATTACAGTAAAATGGAGAAAGAAAAGCGATTGTTGTATTAAAGCTCCCTTTTATGCCCTGCTGAATGACAAAGTCATCCTCACGGAGAATGAACGATTAAACGAATTATTGCTCCCTCAAATGGCAAAAATATTTCATAACGTAGCGTGGTATTTAAAATGGCCCGCTCATATATTTTGTGCGGTGGCTGCTGAGGAGGCCGCATTAATCCCACTGTTGTTTGGTCAGGTGTGACGGCCATTTTGGACCAATTCTGTGTCGCTGTTATTGGAAGAAAAGGAGGAAGGCAAGGAGTAGTGGATGGCTTTTTTCGATCACCTTTTAACCTTCCACATTTCCACTGGCCACGTGCAGCAACTGAAGCAGGTGTTTCAAAGGGGGTTGGGGGAGGGGGCGCATGAGTCGAGACTGATACTGCATAAATCATGCAAATATTCGGCAAATAATATTTCAATGTCGTCCAGGGCACAGGCACCGCGCTCGTGAGATCGACGGCGCATGACGGTAAAGCGGTACCGCTTCGTCTGCGGCACAACTAATTAAATACCATTACTGGATTTATGCACAGAATTCTGATCGTTTGGCTACGAGTCAGTTGCTTTCCTGCATGGAATACATTTCACATGAAATGTTTTGCTCACAGAGCAGGTAGCCAAAGCTCATAATTTTCAGACATGCTGGCCCACCCCTTGTCAAACATCCACCCGAGAAATGTGTGTTCCTCTTAACACACCTGGATTTTGCTGAGAATAAAAAAAAAATGACACGATATTTGTTGTTTTTTTTTTTTAAAGGGGGTGGGGTGGTGGTGCAGTGGTTTGTGCACTACACTATGAAATCCTGGTGATCCGAGTTTTTTTCCTGGCCACGGCACCTCTGATTTACTGACACCTCCAAGTAGCACGGTCAGCTACGGACGGTGCAAAATAATTCAACAAACATACATACATTTGTCAATGAAGAGTGATATCTGAACTAGTCCTGGGCCATACGTTCACCACTTGTGCTGACCAATGTGGTTAAATATGGTAAAAGATTCTAATGACCATCATGGCATGGGGAGGCCATCATCCAGTATTGTATTGATGAGTGGCTGTAAGCATAAGCTTTGTTTATATATATGAATGTGCGGAAGACAGTGCAAATCAGGAATGTGGTCAAGAGTTGGCATAGACGTTTACATTTCAATCCATAGCATGTAACATTAATACATATAACTATTTTACAATTAATTCTGGTAATACGGCATTGTTTAAGCGATTCAATATACCATTTATTTAACCTACTTTTTCGAATCTTGCTGAACCAGCAAAAATTTCTACTCTTCATCTGTTCTGTATTTGTGCTCTCAGGTCTGGGTATTAATGGGTTACAAATGTGTTTCCAATGTTATATTTATTGTGTTGGTTTTGCTTCAGTGAATATGCAGTGTTATTGCCGAACGTAGTAAGACTACTGAACTCATTGCACGTGACAAACATATCAGAGGCACAGCATTACTGCAACACTTCTTTATAACACTTTTTTTTTACTTTTGCCCAGAACCACGTCTTCACGAGTCCCCAGATCAAAATCAAGAACACAGCACCATCATTAACCCCCCCATCTCGGCACTACCCCCCCACCCCCCGGGCCGGATCCACTTAAACATCACAATGAAACGGCATCAACAAAAGGGGCGCTTTAACGCAATGTCAAGTTCGCTAATCGAAAAGTTCATTGGGCAAATGGTTAGCGAATGTGATTTACGATTCCGGGGCGACAAGAGGAGCCATCCTGCTACTAGCCGACCCATTAATGCCGCCGCATGACTCCACGGCCTGTGATACCACTGTAGTAACCTCATATTTAGCGTTTGTTTAACCATTGATCAGAATGCAAGCCGGTGCATCGCGCCGTGTGCTGTTTATAGGCCGGCAACTCTTTTCGCAACGAGACGCTTGCGCGGCATGGCGAAATATA